TTGTGATGAAATTATTTCAGATTGATTAAAATTTTACTAAAACATATATTTTGGAGTCAAATGTAATACAAGTTTGAATGCATTTCTGATTTTTTTTCAGTTGGTTGTTGTTAAAATAACTGAGATTAAATTATATCATATTTATTAAAAATTGTAACTTTTAATTAATTAATTAAGAAAAAACCGCTCGGATTATTCTCTTATAATTACATTTTCTGTGCGTAACGATTGCAGGGAGGAGACGTTTGAACGCAATTAATAAAGCTTCAGGTGAAATTAAAACAGAATTCGGTAATTAACAATTACAGCGGTGCGGCGTGTTATCGATCATTTCTTACGTCTGCTTAATCTAGGACCTCCTCCTATTTAATCATCAAGTTATGGGGTTTCTGTGTGTGTTTTTTTTTCTGCGTTGTTTTGTTTTCTCATAGCTGTCCTCGCCGAGTTTTATTTTTTCTATGTTTCTGTGTGTGTGTGTCTATGTATGTATATTTTTTTTGGGTTTCGGGAGGGGAAAAGGCTTCAGGGAAAAATGTCAGCTGATTTGGTGGCTGGATGTAAGGATATCCTTGCGATCCTGGCGCATGTGCGGGAGGCGGCGGCAGCTCAATACTGGCGTAGGTCCTGGCCGCCGCCTCCCCCTCTTCCACCTCTTGCTCCGCCGCCCCATCCGACGGGGACTGGAAGAGTCGAACCAAAACTAAAGCAAACCAAAAGAGAAGAGGAAGACTTCTCCAATACATCGACATTTTCTTTATATATTATATTTAAAAATATAAGATATTGCAATTACTTGGGGCATCATGCGACGACCTCGATGATCATCGATGCATTCCCAAACATTGAGTTCTTTGGTTCATCGCGTGGAGGTGTTTGCATGCAGAAGTAGTATGGAGATGAGCTCGAAGATCGTTGACACCCGTTGGGTTCTTTTTAATTTTAATCGCTGCTGCCGCCGTATCCTATTTCAATCCCGAGTCTTCAGAACAAAACGAAATATCTCGACACTGCTACAAGCCGAAGGAACGAATGCGAGTTGTCGAGGGGGTATATTTTAAGTCCGCACCAACAAGACCAAAGTGATGTACGGTCGCGGTTCAAAATGGTTTGCAGCTCGAGCTTAAAATACATCTCCCATCTCGATGGTTTTCTGTGGAGGAGATGAAGGATCTCCTGGCCCGATCTCCTCTATTCGCATAAATTACACACAAACATTTTTCACAAAATTCTACTGATTAAAACTTCATCAATTTTTAAATAACTGTAAAATTCTCTTCAACTTTATAACTTCTTCAGTATAAAACTATCTTAAAAGTTAGGGTATTTTCAGCAGTTAAATATATTCTATGTAAAAATCTCTTCAACCTTAAAATAGTTTAAAATATTCAAAGTTAAAATACATATTCAATGTATAAATCTCTTCAAATTTCAAAGTTTTTCAAGATACAAATTTTATCAAAGATAAATTATGATAATTTATGATAAATTTCTTCAAGTTATTTCAACTTTAAATATCTTTTCAAAACATTGAAATTTCTTTAAAACTTAAATCTTAAAAGTTAAAGAATTTTCAACATTTAAACATATTCTATGTAAAAATCTCTTGAAACTTAAAATACTTTAAAATATTTAAAGTTAAAATACATATTGAATGTATAAATCTCTTCAAATTTCATAGTTTTTTAGGATACAAATTTCTTCAAAGATAAATTATGTTCAACGTTAATATCTTCAATGTAAAAATTTCTTCAAGTTATTTCAACTTTAAATATCCTTTCAAAACATTGAAATTTCTTTGGTTCAAATCTCTCTTCAACCTTATAACATCTTCAATATAAAACTTAAATCTTAAAAGTTAAGGTATTTTCAGAAGTTAAATATATTCTACGTAAAAATCTCTTCAACTTTAAAATAGTTTAAAATATTCAAAGTTAAAATACATATTCAATGTATAAATCTCTTCAAATTTCAAAGTTTTTCAGGATACAAATTTCGTCAAAGATAAATTATGTTCAGCGTTAATATCTTCAATGTAAAAATTTCTTCAAGTTATTTCAACTTTAAATATCTTTTCAAAACATTGAAATTTCTTTCGTGCAAAACTCTCTTCAACTTTATAACTACTTCAGTATAAAATTATCTTAAAAGTTAAAGTATTTTCAACATTTAAACATATTCTATGTAAAATTCTCTTGAACTTTAAAATAGTTTAAAATATTCAAAGTTAAAATATAGTTTTAGAGTACAATTTTCTTCAACGTTAACATACATATTCAATGTATAAATCTCTTCAAATTTCAAAGTATTTCAGGATACAAATTTCGTCAAAGATAAATAAATGTTCAGTGTAAAATAAGCATTCATATTTTCAACATCTTCAATCCAAAATTCACATCAATTTTGAAATATTTCAACTCTAATCTTTTCAAAATATTGAAATTTCTTCTCTATTCAATTTTATAACATCTTCAGTATAAAACAATCTGTAAAGTTTAACATTTAAACATATTGTATATAAAAATCTCATGAATTTAAAAAAAAACAGAATAAAACGAATCTTCATAGCTAATATTTGTATCAAATTGTATCAAAAAATTGAAATATCTTTTGGTGTAAAAATCTTATGATTATTACTTGTGATTCTATTTCATGTTTTTTTTCTTTTGGTTCGCACGTCGACTTTATCGATATTTTAAACTTTGCCAATTTCATTTGTCCTAAGCCCTCAGCGAATCCCTCGTAAACTTCCGTAATTACCCTAGCCGGATAACTTTTCTGCCGGATTATTATCAAATATTTACGATCGATATGGAAGGAAAACGTTTCATATTTCGTTTATGCAACGCAGAGAGATAATGGTTCGAGATTGCGGATCGTATCATATTTCGCACATTCAAATATTATATAATATTCATTCAATCGCAACAACATGTAGTTTTTATATAATATGTTTTGGCATTGTGGAAAGATTTTTTGTATATTTTTTTTTCATAATAATCATTGAAACTTATTAATGAAATAATAAATCATGATATTAGTTAAAATTCATATTTTGAATAAAGTTACGCAACGAAATACAATATGTTATGAAATATTGTAAGAAAATTCCCTAAAAAATATGGATTTACAAAATTCGTGGTATATTCTTGTGTTTATGTAATAAATGAGAGTTTTTATTTAAAAATACAATTGTTAAATGTATTTGTTCAAGTTGTTGGTATTTGCTAGACAGTTGGGAAGAGCTTGAATGGACAGGACAACGGAAGATGTATGTATTGGGGTAGGACATGACAGAACTACCCTATTCACTGAGACTCTCTTTTTCAATTTGTATTCCACGAACAAACCAAAAACAACCTCAACAATTTAGGTCTCTATAATAAATCATTTTAGTTTATTTGCATACAGCAACCATCTAGTGCATATCTGCTATTAATTGTTATTATAACTAATATTAGTGTTCTTATATTGAAGTTTTCATAAGGTGAAATGTTTCGAAAATGAAATAAAAATATTTATTTTTAAATAATGGATAAATTCCAAATTAATTTTGTATGTGTTTTAGAACTTTATATTATTAATAAATAAATACTTCACTATTAATATAACTTTTGACATTTGACATTTATATCTTCCATGAGATTTTTCATTAAATCCAATATACTCCATGTTACATTATCAGTATTGTAACAAAAATCATCTATTGAAACATAATAATTAAAAAATAGTTTGTTACATTTACTTTGTTATATAATTGGTATTATAACAAAGATCATAGTTACCTTTTTATAATTGAATGGTATATAAAAACAGATAAATTTGACATTATTGTAGTTCCATATCTGCATTAAGACCTAGTACAATGCTTCCTCGATTTATAACTAATATTAGTGTTCTTATATTGAAGTTTTCTTAAGTTGAAATGTTTCGAAAATGAAATAAAAATATTTATTTTTAATAAATGATTCAGTACGGTATTTTAGAACCTGACTATGTTACAAACAAGCGAGCTTCAATATTAAGTTTAGGAAACTCTGTAGGCTGTGTAAACAAGCACGTATCGAAAGGATACAAAAAACTGTTATAAAGTTATACTAAAATCTAAGAATTAACAGTTTTGGATAAATTCCAAATTAATTTTGTATGTGTTTTACAACTTTATATTATTAATAAATAAATACTTCACTATTAATATAACTTTTGACATTTATATCGTCCATGAGATTTTTCATTAAATCCAATATATTCCATGTTACATAATTAGTATTGTAACAAAAATCATCTATTGAAACATAATAATTAAAGAATAGTTTGTTAGATTTACTTTGTTATATAATTGGTATTATAACAAAGATCATAGTTACCTTTTTATAATTGAATGGGAAATAAAAAAACAAAAAACATTATTATAGTTCAACATCGCCAACTTTTTCTAAATATAGATGGCAACTTGACGTTATATAATTGTTTTTATAATTGAGATCATAGCAATCTTTTTTTTCAAAAGGCCATGGCAACCGAATAATGAATATTGTTATTAGGTTTTATTTGACAGTAATGAATGCAAATGAAAATGTGCAAGTTCATTGTAATGTGTAACAAGAGTGAATAAATTGGAAGAATTCGGCGACTGAAGTGAGTGATTCTCTGTGATTTAGAATAATTTCATACATATGCAGATCAAATGGAAGCTGCCGGAAATCCATGAATCCAAATGGCGTGTGCAGGGATTTGTGCATCACGCAGCTGCATCCAGGTTGCTGATGAGGATGAAGAATTCGGTTGTTGCGGAAGGATGAAGAGGCTGTTATCGAGGAGGAAATTAGCGAAAATTGGAGGATTGGAGGGTGGCCCCGTGGAGGAGCCGGCAGTTTCGTGAGTTGGAGGGGTTCACGGAGGGGCAACGTTGGCGTAATACACCCCCAGATACGGGTCTGTCCTATATCGGAGGACAACCCTAGTCAGCTGTGCGCTTGGTGGGGGCGTTTTCTAGGGGTGGGGTTCAAAACCGGCAGCTACTGCAATAGCGCACCTCGAGCCGGCATTCGCGAGTTGACGAACCTCCGGTGCGTTCACACACATACACGATATCCAACATACAAGACAGGAGAGAGAGACAGAGAGAGAATTGGAGAGAGGCGTCGTACGCTGAGGAAGAGTTACAGAGAGAGAGAGAGAGGCAGACCGAAACGAGAGGAGTCGGGCCAGACACAGGAGGATCGGAAGTAATACCTATTGCATTTTTGTAGTGCCATCGAAACGCTTCAGACACTAACATTCATTCATTAGAGAGAGGAGCTTCGAGGTCCGAAAATATTGGGGGCTGTGAGGGAGTACAGGGTTTCGTCGGATGGAGACTGTGAACGGCGTCTCGGAGGGCGGTCCGCCGCCCCCGAGTCCTCTGACCGGATGCTATCTCCTCATCGTCATCGGGGAACCTCACTCGCAGGAACACAAGGACATCATCCTCAGACGAGTCGCCAAAGGTAACAACAACTCAATTCACTAACTAATATCTAAAGCAAGCGAATCACTGAAATTCAATTATTTTTACGCAAATTTCAATTACAATCTCACCAACCACCATAACTATATATATACCAACATATATACATATATATATAGAAGTATTGATTTCGATCAGTTTCGCATATCTACTCCAATCAAAAACCGGCACCCAATTATTATCAGCGCCAACGCAAGCGATTTCTCTTCATCCAATATATGCACAAACCGTTTTTTCTTCTCTTCTCTTGCTGAAATTCTAATTATTTCTGTCGTCCGTTGATTCAATTACCAACGTGTACTGTTCATTTGGACTGGGGGATTCAATTATCGACAATCAATCCTCGCATCGATTTTCGATGATTGCGAAGTGGATCAATAGCCGGGCTCGACGCCCCGAAGAAGACACGTCGATTCCGCTCCGTCGGTCACGGTAATATGCGTTTTAATGCCGCGACCGACTGTTATGAAATTTTAATTAGTCTCGTTAATATGCAACGTACGGAACATTACAAAAATATATATATATATAAATATATGAATGTATATCCGAACGGATGCGCCTTCTAGGGAATCGGATTAATTCTCGTAACCCGAAAAGAAATGACATCAAAAACATTACGAATAGAGCCATGAAAGTTAATGTACAAACATGGGGCGCGTGCCTGACGACCACCCACTCCCCCAATACACACACACTATTTGCGAGCACGATTTTACCCCACTGACAAAGAAAAAAAAAAGTGTGATTATTTTCATTCATTTATTTATTTTTGGGGGAGTTCACCGACATTAAATGTAAAATGCACCGGCGGCCCCCAAACAGGGGGAAACGTGCATAGAAAATAGGTAATAACCCTAATGGGGGTGGATACGTGTGGACATGCGAACCACTATTTCCACTTTGAGCTTAGAATCGATATAGTTGCAATTACTCACACTTTCGGTTTTTTTTATCTAATTCTTTTAATATAAGAATGATTTGGATTTATTTCGGGAGACGCTTCAGCGCACAAAAATTTCTATTTTTTCCACGACGCGACTCGCTCCGACGGGGATTCCCCAAGTGTAAGTTCACGAACGCAATTAGATGCCAGCAGGCAGGCATTTTGTATGCGTTTTCCTATAGAATTATTAATGAAATCGTAATTGCCGGCACAATAACCTTTTCCAAAGGTTGAGACATGATTCTTTCAAAGACACTATTGGTCTTATCACTTATTTATTTACTTAATCAATTTGTCTACATGAATAAGTTTTTATCAATTTCTTATACATTACATAATGAACAAAATTTTAAAATATTTCACTAAAGTATTTTGTATCTTTTAAATTTAACAAATCCTTATTTTGTATACTTCATATATGACAAATTACGAAATAAGTTAAGAAACGTATGTAGTCTAAAATATTTGTATAGGTGATTTTAATTTCCAATTAATAATTAATAGGTCAGAAGAATATGCATGTTTTTAAACTTTTGTTCTGTTGTCTTTTAATTTATTTTTAATTACCAATTTAATTGCGAAAGTTAATTGTATATTATTACAAACGTATAAGAAATATTATTTAAAAATTATAAGTAAATAATCGCAATAAACGTTTATTATATAATAATCTTACGGAATAAATAATGTACTTGCATTTAACTGTTTTTGGCCGATCAATAAGTGAAGTCTCATAACAATTTCAATAAATGTTAATAGAAAAATTGGTAAGAAAACAAACCTATAAAAGATGATCAATATACGTAAATATCCGTTTCGAACATGGTAATAATAATAATAATAGTAGTGGTACAAATCTGAAGTACCTGGAAGAGTATTTGCTTTAACTGCTAATTGAATTGTGTATAAAAAGTGAGTGCATGCTTGGAAGAAAATGTGAGTCGTTATTGAAGATGTATAAATTCATAACTACATTAGAGGAATTGTGGATGTGGAGAACATAAATTGCATAAGTAAACGTAAGAGTGAAGAGCGTACCTAATGCGAATTTAATTTCGCGACGAAAAACGAGCACTGCATACTCTACTTATTTGTAATCGCGTCTAATAATAATAATAACGAAGACAAGAAAAAGAGGAAACCTTAGATTTTAGCTTTATAAAATAAAATTGAAGCCAGAAATGTATTTAGAATTAATTTGAATACTAATTATAAATTAGTTTTAAAAGAATGTATGAAATTGCTATAATTATCTAAATTAATTATAATACACTTCAACTGTACAAAGTATAATTTGCAATCGATTTTTCCTGAACATCATAAATAAATTAATTAGAATCGCTCGGATTGGTCTCTGGGGCGGTTTTTTTTTTCACCTTGACTCCTCGCAATTAGTTTTGCATTAGCGAACAACGTGTAATTAAAGAGATCTCATCTATTATTAGAATCAAAACAGATTTCTATTTCTATTATTCACGTTGCCAATAGTTTATTGAATCAATGAACTGCAATTACAGCACGCGCGTTCTTCCACACGATCATCAAAAACGTGATTCATATTCAAGACGCAAACCCCACGTTATTAACAAATAAATAACCTGAGCTAGAGCTAGAGCAGGTCTGTTCTCTTGTTCGTTTTATTTCTGACTACGTGCCTTGATTTTATTTGCTTCCATTTCGTCCAACATTATTTTACGATTCTTATTGTGCTTAATAATAATAATAATAAAAAAAATAGGGGAGAGCAGAATAAATGTGCTGATGCAGACGTAACTCGGGCCATTTCTTCCAAAAATGTTATTGTTACGAGAGAACAACACTCTGACCTGTTATATAACTATTGTAAGGTAGAGACACAAAAAAAAATATGACTCTATGGTGCAAGTTTTTTGATGAATTGTTCAGGATAATCAATAGCTTACTAATTATTACGTCACCGTTTGTATTTGACAGCTTCATTGATTATTGATTGATAAAATTGAATGTTTTCTTTCATATCTTAACAATTTAATAAATTTGTTAAATTACTGAACAAATACTTCTAAGCTGTTTTAACAGCTATAGTTTTCAGTTATTGTTATTTGGAAATATTACAAATTTCATTAATAACTTTGAAAGTTGAGTTTTATAAATGTATGTAGTAGAATTTTGGTGTTTTCATTTTTTTTTTCAATTTCAATGTGATATTAAGGTGTGTTTTTTGCGTACGTTAGGTATTCTGGTGGAATGTAATTAATCAATTCCGTGCGTTTCTTCTTGTATGTTTTCGTGTTTGTTAAAGCGAGTCGGAAACCTAGGAACGGAGAGCCGGTTTAAAGGCTATTTATAGCGGCATTATTTATTAGTTCAATATTGTTATGGAACCCACATATATACGTCCAGTTCCGGACAAAAGGTTATTCATGTCGCTGTGACAGCTGGCTTTGACCAAAATGAGTGTGCGTTATGAGGATGGCAGAGGGAGTAGGAAAATGTAAAAAAAAAATAAATAGAAGAATGGTATGAAATGAAATGGATGTGTGTAATTGCGTCGCCATGCTGCTAATTGAAACACAGCATGTGGGACGCGGATCTGTGTGTTTATCCAGAAGGAATGACTACTTTGATAGCTGGAGCTACATCCGTATGAGGAGAGAGGAATTATGGATGAAAATACAATATGATGATGGATTTTGGGCATTGGGGCAGAGATGTCAGGCCTTGTAATTTCATCCTCTCATCGGAAGACGGAAGAGGAAGCGAGAGACCTTTTGCAAGAATGACATGTCATCTTCAGAAGTTACATTTAAGAAATCGATGGTGGATGAAAAGATTGTAATGCTGTATTGAATTGAGAGAGCAAGATGCAAGTTATCAATGGTCAAAAGCCTTTACATTTCGACAATTTGCATGTTATTGTTAAGATTGACAAGGAGCTATCTATTATACTTTCAACATTTTTATATCACAGACAAATAGGAGAAACATTCCTGGACAAATAGCTTGCAACTTACAATTTTCTGTTATTTTCACTACGCGATACTTGCCAAGTAGTAAGTAAAATAACTACTTTTTTTTAAGTAAAATATAAACTGGATATTCTAAAAGTAAATGATTGCTAACTTTTGCTAAAAATATTGAAAATGTTAATAGATTTATTATATACTTTCATTGTGAACTTGTTTGGAGCGAACAGCGAAGAATACTTAAATCTATAAAACTTAAAAACTCCGAGTTTATCGAAACTTTCTAGTCACTTTGAAGTTTTCGAATGAAATAGGATACAGCTTTTGCTGCTGGAATAAAAAAAGAATACAAAATTCTTCTCAATTCACAAAATTTAAACAGTTATTGTAAATACAATTAGTTAAGTCTTATACTTACCTGTAATTGATATATTTTAATTAAGTAAAGTTATTAATTAATACAAAAGTTTTTAATGTTGAAAACGTGTAAACATTTTTTCTTATTATCTTTTATATAATCGAGTTGGAAACATAACTTTTGATGAAGTTCGTGTTTTCTGATTGATTTATATTAATACTTAATGGGAGGAAACTCCAGTGTATAAGATAACTTATTGAGTCAATAAGGGCAGATGAATCAATCAAGTTGGGAAAAACAAAATATGGACGTTGTATGAACTTGTTTTACTCTGTGACAAATGTCTTTTGTTTCCAAGTTATTTCCTGTAATTTATCACAATGTTCGAGTAATATATTTTTATAAAGTCCTAAATTGGTGTTAATCGATTCATTACTAAAAAAATGTAAGTATTATAAAGTAAACTTTTCATGTTATTTAATTTCGATTAAATATTAAGTTCATAAAGTATTTTTATTATTGGATGTAACATGAAGAACTGAATTATATATGTAGTATATTGTTCCATTTCGAATGGAAGTAAACATGTCCTTTTAGAAAAATTGCACCGATCCAGTTGCAGGAAACTACCAATAAGGTGAATCATAACTCTCCTGATGCTGGATGAGATATTAGATCATAACTTTAGATACAGCAGTCGCAAGACAAAGATGGAATTGGAGCAAGTACAC